GGGGAGAGAAAACCCTTTTACAAATAAAGTTGTATTTATTGGGTACCTGTGGGACCCAACCCTCAACATCTCCAATGAAAATGCTCAGGAAACAGGTAACCGAGAAAAATCTCTTCCTGCTAAGACCTCGACTTAAAGGAGGGTTCTTAGGGTTCTGTAGGGGAATACAAGTTTTTCTTAGCGGAGTTAATCTTTTATCTTGTGCCCGTCATTCCTACAACACCCGCCTTCAAAAGAGCAGATGAGAAGTGGCTCATTTCTTAGTTGCCAGCATTGCTGCTTGTTCCTGAAAAATACCTGGGTGTATTTTAAAAAAAGCTGGAGGCAAATTGTGGCACTGTTTAGACACGCTCTATCTCAAATTGTCAAAGGGGCTCAACTAAAAAGGAGGCCCTCAAAAGCAACTCATTTTTTTGTTTTCTTAAATCTAGTTGATCGAAATAACAACGGCGTCTCACTCTTTCTCATTGTAACAAAATGGCGGTTTAAGGTGTTGGGTGTGGATGGTCCCCACATTCTCTCAGCTCAGTCCTACCTCACAGGGTTGCTGTTCCAGAGATGAAATGGGGGAGATGGCTTGTTTGACTCGTGGTTTGTTGAGGTGAGGCAGAGCAGCTCTGTCCAAACATTGTGCTAAACTGAACACCGCTCTCCCTGACCTGCCACCGCAGTGGAAGAGACGCAGTTGTCCTTCAGACGCTCCTCATCCAAGCCACCAACTACCCCTTTGCTGTTTTTCTCCAGAACGGAACGGATTGTTCATATTCCCCAGATTATGCGAACATTACGCGATCTGTTGGCATGATCAGACAGATGTGATTTATGAGACTGGCATTTCTCTCTCAATTGCAACAGATGCAGTTATTGTTGGAGACCGTGCCCTGCTCCCCATGCTAATTGTACGGGCGCCTGCGTGAAGGATGCAAGGCTGAGCTTTGTGGCATACAAAACCAGGATGACGGTGAATTGATCTTTTTGTCCTTTTCTAAACTCTTCCCCTGACGCGCTCGCTGTTTTTTTGGTCTCCCTCGCAACCTTTGGCCCCTTGATGGACGTCCCAGCAAGACCGTCTGGGCCAAGGTGACAAGGCTGTTCTGGCTACTGTTGGTTTAGCAGGTCTGGTGTCAAGGAGGAGCACCGAAGCAAACAAAATGGGAGCGTCGGCAGCTCCCGAAAGGCAAAAAAATGTCATCAGGGCTCTTTTTCTCTGCAAGCGTTTTTAAATGTTCTCTTCTTAGCTGGAAGAATGCAGTGTGGATTCTCAACTGCATTTCTAACAGGCAGTGCAAACTTTTAGGCACAGATGTGGGTGGCGCAGATGACAGTAAGATGTCCAGGCAAGAACGTTTGGAAGGGCAGAAGATGGACGCCCTATTATGAGAATAGGTTAAGCAAAGCTATTTTCAGAATTAAATTAAAAGTGATTAAGGGTGAAAAGTGAATGGGTCCCCTTTTCCCCATCATTAATAAACACCCCCCCCTCACAAACACACACTCCTCAGCCTCTCAGCATTGTCATATGAGAGTGTAATTCCAAGAGGCCCAATCTGTGTGGAAAATTGCTAATGTAATGTTGACGTTTAGATTGAATCGATTCTTTTGTGGAATCCAGATGAGATGATCTCCTTTTATGGGAAGGGAGGAGATAAAAAAGGATAATTTGAAAAAAAATTAGCAAGGAGGGTCCCTGAGTGTTGATGGCAAGATGCAGCTTGTAATCTCTTGTGATTCAAACCAAAAGGAGGGGACAGTCCTGCACGTTTCTGGACTAACCTAAATGGCCATCTCATTTCCAAGCCCAAATAAACGTAGAAGGAAGCCGGACCTGACAGCCCCACAAGATCCAGTGGAATCGGTTCCTGTTACCAAAAACTTTAGTTCAGTTCCCCCTTCAGGAGGATGGGGAACAGACCTTCTGATCATGTCACTAGGGTCTTTGTTGAAGGGGGAAGCAGGGGAGGCCAAAAATAAGCCTTTTCACCTAAAAAGCACCGCCTCATTTTTAAAATAAACATAAACGTGAATTTTTCAGGCAGTTAAAAATAATGGATAGATATTGCCAAAGCCCTTGAGGTCATATCATTTGAAACATTTTTTTCCAGTCACCAGATATTTATTTGACAAACTTTGTACGAGACCAGGAGAGAGCAGGAAAGAGAGAGAGAGAGAAATTTTATACACCCGCCTATATAAAATAGAGAATCCCTGTTTTTGAGATTGTGGTGGGAGGCAAGGAAACAAGTTGCAGAAATAAAGCGATAGGAGCAGCAGCCATTAGATGCATGGATTTCGGCGTCAAAATGGATGCTTCGCTCTCTGTGACCTCAAGGTCTTGATGGGGAGACCTCTGACTACACTGTGGTCTGTCCAAGACAATTACCATTTTCATTGCTAATTAGTTGGGCCAAGTTGCATATAAAGGACGGGCCTCTACGTAGCTGGAGCGCTCGGACAACCACAATAGCCCTGGTCGGGGAAGGGGGGGCATGAGCTGGGCCTTTCCTCAGCCAGCGTGAGGACCGTCCAGATCGGCTCTGAATTGAGCAGGGCAAGAGACGGCTTCCCCTGGGAAGCTGAGGCTTGCCAAGGCAAGAAGAGGGAGCCGAGTGTGGAATGTTTCTCTCTGAATAACAGGAGTCAGGGCAATATGGTCCTCCCAAACCAGGTTCCTCCACACCCACTAGCGTCCAGATCTGTTGGGTCTGCAGCCCTCCCAAATCTGGCAGTGCTGGCAGCTGCCGTGCGCCGTCCTCAGTGCCCCCTGCGCCTGCAGCCGCTTGGGACTTGGTCTGTCTACGTACATCCCTGCTCGACATTCTGGGATCCCCAATTTGCCGCCCCCCGCCCCCCGGTGTCTCTCAAATTGTCATTTTTAATACAGCAAAAGGAGACGACAAATCCCCACTTGAGGAACAGTCGTGCGGAACCACACTGAGTGCGTTGCGTTTGGCTTTAACGAAATCTCTGGGCAAAGCCGAGGTTTTGTCCTGGCCCGATCCATTTGGGGGCCTTTCCTCTTTTCACACTGCCACTTGCCCACTCGCCAGAGTACCTCCTGCTCTTTGAGTCCCCCGGGTGGCACATCGAAGCTCTGGTCCCTGGATGTGACCGCCGGGGGGTGGGGGGGATCCGAAACGCCTCATTCCTCCTGATGCGAGTGGCTTGTACAGCCAGACGGCCCTTCCTTTCTGGACTCAGCTTTATCCTATTAATAGAGCAGGAACAGACTCCATGTGGCTGTTTAGTCACGCTGCACTGAAGTAATGCTCGCCCTGTTCTCCCCCTCTAGGCTTCATATCCATCATGTTACACGAGAGCCGAAAGATGGGGCCCAGTTTCTTCCTGCCAGGCCTGTCTCCCCCCCACCTTTTTAAAAAGAATTTCGGTTATTATTAAAACACCTCTTCCTTGAAACGATAACACATGCATTCCGGAGGTTGGAGCAGCCAGCTGTAATATTTTCAGCTTCCCCTATTATTATTTTTAAAAAATATATACATGCTGTCTGGTGAGAAATGGGAGGATGAAGCTCAGCGTTGGTTTTTTTTTTAGAATTTTAGGACTGAAGAGAGCCGGGATTGCTCCCCCCTCTTCCCCAACAGACTGTCCAAATTCTCCCTGTTGGCCAGTTTGCCCATTTGGCTCAGACAAATGGGCTCCTTTCCAGGGACACTGAAAATAGGAAGACTTTGTGCTACGATAGGCTGTTATTGGGGACAAGATCTGTTCTGACCAGGAGATTTTGGCCTAGTTCTGCAACCCAGTATTACCCGGAGGTTCCCTCTCTGCTTTTCTGATCTCTGAATGTCCTTGGAGCCATCTCCCTCCACAACCACTTTTTGGAGATGGAGAACAGGCAAAACTGTAAGGCCCTAAAGGTGTCAGACAGTTTAAAAAAAAAAAAGTTCCCTCCCACAACTTCATCTAAATCTAGAATTTGTTTTTAAAAAGCGTTCTGGCCCTCCCCGTGTGCACAAGACTGCAACCTTTGTTCATCTTCACCCCCAGCATTACATCTGCCCTGCCCTGCGTTCTTGTATTTTCACTCTTTTGAATCCAGTCTCGGTGAAAGTGAAAACCTATCCCGGAGTCTCAGGGATAAAGCACTAATGAGGAACTTGATTTCCCCCCCTTTTAGTTCAACTCAGTCTTCTGGGCAACTTCCTCATTATGAGTAGTTCCCCCCCTCCTTTTAAAGTCCTTGAATCAGGTGTGTTGAAATTTCAATGGAAGGTGAGTTGCCCTGCCTCTCCTCTGCCTTGCCTTCCTTCTCCAGATGTTCCTGCTGTTGCAAGAGCACAGCCCTGATTTTTAAAGGCGGCGCAGGCCAGACTGAAAGTAGCACCTGTTGATGGGCTTTCTCCCAGGATCCCTGAAAAATTTTCAGAAGCCCACTGGGAATTTTATTTAAAAGCGCCTTCCTTGATTTTTCTTTGGTTGTTCAGCAGCAAGGTTCCAAAGCCAGTCACACACGCTTGCTCACTCTGATTTCTGTCTGGGGGTGCTGTCTGGATTCCCAAGCCAGAGAAATGCTCATAGTTTTCAGAAGAGAAATTCTGGGGAGACATGAGGGACAGCTAAGCACCCTTCCTCTCTGCTCTGAGCAGAGTTTCCTTGGCTGCAGGGTTGGATGAGATCCGGCCGAATTGAGCACACCACACAAAGGGCTGTTCCTGTCCCTTGCAGTCTTTTTGCTCTTGAATGTAAAACCCTTGCTAGGAAAAAAAATCCCACCGCCCTCATTATAGTCAAATATTCTCCGTTCCATTCCACTTCTCTCTGCTAGAAATCCAGCCTTCCCCAACGAGGTGCGTCCCAATTCTGTCGGACTGCCACCGTCAGTCACTGGGAATTATGGGGGCTCTAGTCCGGCAGATCTGGATAGGCCCCAGCAGCCATCAAGGCTGCTAGAAGCAAAAACCCTGCAAGAGAATGATGCCGGGGTAGGAATCTGAAAATGGCTGTGGTCAGCTTGATTCCTGCTTCAGCCTGCTCTGCAGCTCCCTTGACCTTGGATACCATTGAGAAAGGGAAGGTTGTGATACCAGCAGACTTGACAGGCATCTTTCTGTGGTGCTATAAAGTGGGGGGGGGGGGCGGGGGCGGCTCTAATCCTACAGCATTTAAGAGACTGGGGCTTCCAGAGGCGAGCCCAGCTTGCGTACTGTGTGAAGGAAGTCCCTGCGTTCAGTTTGGGTACCTTCAAGTAAGACATTCTTGAGATCAAGAGTGGTGAGCGAGGCACATCCAGTAGCCAGATAGCACAAGATAACTCCGTTCCTGTGGCTTTTGAAGAAAGGCTTTTGCGCGTGTGTCAGTTTTGCCAACAGGACGATTCAGCATTGAGTGCTTCTGTTCAGGATAGCGGCCGGCCGGCCGGCCACGTCCTCCTTTCGCATCTCCCATACCATGCCCGACTCCAACACTCAAGATGCAGAGGCCTCGCTGGCCAGAGATCCGGTTTTGTTTTCTTCTTCATGAGGATCTTGGATTTCGTTGTACTTCTGCAAACATGGGGACCCTCCTTCCTCCTTGTGAACGGATGGTGCCGCTGGGGCTTTCCCGGGTTTGGCATTTGCCGTTGTCCGTTGCTGATGGAAGGAATGATCTCCCATGCTGGAATTCAGGCGCTCCCATCCAGGTAGCAATTCCCCGCCTGCTTAACTCAGCAAAATTAAAACAGCTCCCGGCATCTTCAGGCCATCTACCGGAGCGTGTAAGGCTGCATTTAAGAAAAAGGAAAGATCTCAAACTTAGATTGGTCAGTGGCTTTGAAAGTTTGAGTATACCTTTT